CTCACCGAATGTGCACTAGGCCTAAAATACAATACAAGTATTTTAACATCTAGTGGTACTAGATGATCGAGTTGTTCGATAAGAGCTCCCCTCTTAATAGTACGACCATCTATCCTAAATGTGATCACACTCGTTAAGTGTCTTGATCACTAAACCAAAAAGCTCCTATTTAGTTTCACCTTTACCTTGAGTTTTTTGTTTTTCTCTTTCTTTTTTTCCAAGTCCAAGCACTTGATCATCATGGTCACCACACCATCATCATGATCTTCACCATTGCTCCATCACTTGGAATAGTGCTACCTATCTCATGATCACTTTGATAAACTAGGTTAGCACTTAGGGTTTCATCAATTTACTGAAACCAAACTAGAGCTTTCAAAGGGACGTGGGGTGGTCGGATGGATGTGCCTGGCTACCTGAGTTGCTTGTATACGTAGGGTTGGTCTCCCTTGTGGGCTACTTGGGCTGGGCCTTATTAGTTATGGGCTGCAGATTTTGGGTCCCCATGGGTTCCCCATGGGGAAAACCGCCCCTCCCCAACAAAAAATTCGGGTCCCCGAACCCAAGACCCGTGGGGAGAAACTACACACCCCGCCCTATCGGGTCCAAAACCCATGGGGACCCGCCCCACTGTCATCCTTAGTAAACATGAATCGACAGATCATCCACTATTTGGTCGACAATAAAATGGGGAAAACAAAGAACAAAGAATATGGGCAAGGCAAGAATTTAGACATTCTTCCGATTGCTGGAACTCCAAACTTTATTCAGATATTCTTCAGATTTCATTCAATTAGGGTGTCATTGAAGGGCTTGAGCCACTCAGATCCATTGATGTATGCGGTTGTCAGAAACAGCTCAGCTTGTGACTTGTTCAACTTCTAGGTATAAGGCACCCTGTCGGCCATGTTCGCACCATATATGCATGAATCGTTAGCAGTTAGCACTGATAACAAAAGCTAAAAAAGAGTGATCACCTATTTCTATTGGCATGTCCCGAGAAAGTTAAATCTGCCCTTAGGGGCATGTGCTCCCACCCCATGCTCCATTTGATTTTCATGGGGATATGTGCACTGTAGGAGAGAGACAATACACCGAGCAGCTTTCTAGGGATGCAGCTTCTTTGGAGCCCAGGATACTCTACATGATGACCAAAACATGCACTATTTCATATTTGATGATGGCAGGTCCCTGTACTAGGTAATCATGCCTTGTGATCTCAGTAGCCGAGCACAACATTAAGACTTTATGAGATGCTAACTTGTTGTTTCTTTTGTCTTTTTAGAATTACACGCTTAACAACGTGGCAGAAGATTTTCCCCAAGGGAAGCACTCGATCAACGACGTAATCGTGGGCACAAGACCAACGCTTTCCGGAGAACAACACCGATTTCTCATTCGCTGGTTTGACAGTCAAAGGAACAGGATGGATCCGCCGGGAGGGTGTGGCAAGCCTACTCGGCGTGTCGTCTTCACCAACACATACATGCCACCCATTGTAGCCACAAAAGGGTGGGACAACTAGGGACATGCCAAAGGCAAGGTTGTTTTTGCTGTGAGGGGCATGTGCTCTCACCCCATGCACCATTTGATGTGCACGTCCAATGATGTATGGGGTAGAAGCAGTATGTCCTAAGAACAGATTAAAGTGAGCTCGACGGGATGCAAACCCGTCCTTCTCGATAGTTGGCCTAAATGAAAGTCAAAATCGGCACGGACGGCTTTGGGGAAGCTAAACAATGGGTATTCCTTCTCATTCTTGTCTCTCAATTTTTAGGCTTTCTCACGAATTTTCAACTTGAGCGCCATTTGCTTGTCTTATATTCAATCATGCATCCCTCTTGATAGTGTGGAAACATTAAACTCAACATAAGAAAATAAAACTTGATCTCTACTTGAGCTTCTTCCAATTTTTGCTTGCCACATTAATCATGCATAATTGAGGAACTCCATCACTTGATTTGTTTAAGCTTGTCCATCTTGAGCATGTGACTAGTGTCGAAGGTTTCAAGCCACTTTGAACATTTGATATTATCTTTCACATTGGTAAACACCACTTGATTAGTGCCTCAACTAAATGCAAGTAAGTTCCTTCTTCACTTTTATCTAGATCCATCAGCCGCCAAGATTAACATGACTTGTCAATGCTTCTAACCATGAAGTGAATAATATTTCATTTGTATTGTTGTCTTGTGTTGAACTAGATTGATTCCAATAATGCTCACAAGCTTATCAACTATCTTTGATATTTGTTCTTGCAAGCTTTATAGTTGAGACCATTCCATATGTTATCCTTTATGTCTCATTTATTTGATATCACACTTGTTTTCAAATTATTGCTTCACAATAAATCTTGAACTCAATTTAAGATTTATATGATCACCACACATTATATGAGTCCAACACATAGTAACTCACCTGGGACTAAATGCTTGCAAGTGTCGTAAATTTGTTAGTCCCTTATCAATTGTCATTCAATGCATTAAAATCCACAAGGACGCGGATGCACTTTCAGCATGGACTTTACTCTTAGGGCCGTTTAAATCATTGGAATTGAAATCATTCTAATAATTATAATTTAGACATAGATTAATAAAGCTAATATAGTTATATATAGAATATATTTGTATATTTATTGTTAGACATACCAGGGATATACTTATATGTTGCATTTCTATTATAAGTAAACGAGTTGAAGAGTGTGCTATAAGTTGGAGAATAGAATTATAGCATAGTGATCTATATAATCTACTTCCATCTTCCACCCTGTGAATTTAAGATAAGCTTATTTGTGAGCTTAGAAATATTATGGAATGTCAAATTCCAAGCCAAATAATCTAATCCATTAAGTAGATTTTAATTTAAAATGAAGAGATCCAAACGGTGCTTAAAAATACGCTAAATCTATACTGTGCTCGGGTGAAATTTGGCCGTGTCTCACCTGATCCCTTGTGGCCGTCTGATCTCGCTGTGAACGGAGGGGATCATACCTTGGTGAAAGGTGCGGGTGCGGGTGGGTGCGGTGCAGGTGCTGCTGCGCTCCTGCGACCGACCGTACAGCTTTGCTGCAGCCTTTGCTTAATGACCATGGCGCGCGGTGGAGGGCAGGTGCTTTGTTAATATTCATTCCTTCGTTCGGAACAAATTACATCTTATTATACCATATTTTACTATTTTTATTTAGGTGCAAGTTCTGCGCTTGATTAGTGTAAATTGATTATTCATAAATAGGAATAGTCAAAATTATTCATAAACAGATCAGTTCATTTGGTTTGAGTTTGCTTATTTTTGTTAATATGCATTCTGCAATTTGTATTTCTTTCTGTTCTTTTTTAATTTTTTCCAATTTGCCTTCTATAGAACTGATCTGGTAATTTTTTAATTTGCAATTTGTATGTTTTTATATGATTTTCCTTTTGTCTTTATTCTATTTGCCTTTTCATAAATAAATTTGTTTATTTGTTTATTTTCTGGTCCCTTAGATCTGGATCTTGTGGTTTCTGCAAATCGGGTGATTCATGGCTTCAAATCACTCGATTGTGTCTGGTTGGCAAAATCGAGTGAATTTTACTCTTGTCTCACTCGGGTATGAGGATTCTATAAATCACCCGAGTTTGCAGTAGACAAACCCTAAAAATATGGTGCCTTAGACTGTCTCTAACAAGGAGCCTGTATAGACATCCAAACCTAAAATGATTAGCAAGAGACCCAAAATCAGTCTTCAATAGAGTACATATATTGGAGACCTATTTTAGATTGCCTGAGAGGCACAACCTAAATATGGGCATTCTCTCTCCTAAAAACCCATTTACAGAAATGATTCTCTTTTAAGTCTTCGTTGGAGAAGATGCCGAATAGGTGTTGAACGATTTGTATGCAGCGCTCCTCAGATGACGAATGATTTCACTTTTGTACGGACCATCTCTTAACCATGCGCGATGGTTACGTACGTCTTCTGTCCACGCGAGCTGCTGGTGGTGGTTGTGGATGTGGCCTGTGGGTTCATTCTGAGTTGGGCTGAATGGATGGATTCCTCAAGAAATACCGGGTCGGAAACTGTGTTCATTCCTTCACGTTTCTCACTTTCAACGGCTGGTGTCACGGTGGCCTTATTTCTCTCTAAGGAGCCCAAAGCCCCGAACTCCGGTCACTCAGCCTAACTAGCCTTGTGCCCTTGTCCCAGTTTCCCATCCTACGCCAACTACTGTGCTCTTGTGACACCCAGTTCGTGGAAATCTGGGAATTCAATTCTTGCAGTGTTTTTCAGATTGACTGGCTGAAAGCGATCGGCCCGGCTCTCATCTGTTTGCTGCCTTCAGATACGTGATGCGATTAATGATCAAATTCTTTCTGTCTAATTGCTTTTTTTTGTCTGCGAGCATCTACAAAAAAAAAACATGTACTGTCAAATCCATTACATCGGCTGCATCCATGGTCCCATTTGTACATCGAAAAGATCACAAATTTATTTATTCAGCAACAAAGTTATACTAGTACATAGCATCGCAGTTATCTTAGGTAACCCCAAGCATCCAAACAGCCCCTGTTGTATAGAGCAAAACGAGTGTTTGCTGCTCTCCTTGCATGAAAGCTCTATTTTTTGTTTACACAACAAAACAACCTCGGTTTGCCATAAGAATTTTTTTTTGCAGAGCTCTAACAAATACGGAACAGATACGAAGCACCGTGCAGGTGAATCCTCTGTTGTAAGAAGAACACACACAGCTCTATCAGGCAAGATGCTACCTTTTTTTGACCCTTATTACTGGATGTTTGTGTTGTGCCGCGTCTGATCTGATGATCTTACATCACACTGCGAACTAGCCATATACAGCAATCAATCTCCTGTAGTAAACAGCAAAAACGTAAACAGCATGCCCCCTTTTGCACTGTAGTCTTTTGTGAATGGTGAAGAGAGAAAGGAGGAATCTTGGTCCTATATATACTCCTATTGTAACGATTTTATTAAACATAGGAGGCTAAACTTGGTGCCTTTGGTCCTATTGTATGTTGGTGCAGAGCCAATCCATCCCCTCGTGGAGGCCTTCTCCTGAGATTGCACAACAACTTTGAATGTGCCTGCAGAAGCAGAAGCAATTTGGATGATCAATTTCTAGAGTCGAGTCGTCGAGAGATAGGAACCTCATGTAGGCACATACCATATACGGTTGCAAAGCAGTGACTGAAGCCCAAACTTGCCCGCTACCTCTGCTGCGCTCATGGCATTCGGACGGTCCTGCTTGGTTGCAAACACAAGCAACGCGGGATCCCTAACCTTGAACTCCTCCTGACATTAGTTCAATTCGGATTCAGAAACAAACCATGAGTCCCCTAGGCCTAGCTACTGAAACCTGGTGTTGTGCAGCAGCAGTATCTGGCTACCTACCTACCTCGTTCAGAATCATGTTCAGCTGATCTTGGGCTTGAAGAATCCACTCCCGGTCGCTGCTGTCGACGACGAATATCACGCCCTGGGCGCCATAGAGGTAGTGCCTTAGCAAGCCTCGGAGCTGCAGATCAAAATGAAAGTAATCAGAGTGCCACAGCCTGTATTGCACATACATACGGAATGCAAGAATAATGCAGCTGCATGAAGCTACCTCACCTTGACTTGACCACCCACGTCCCAAACCCCGAAGCTGATGCCATTGTATTCAAGAGTCTCGGCGTTGAACCCTACACAATAGCATATTATTAGCATATTTTTGTTGAAGGCTTGAAGCAACAGCTTGACTTGAGCTGGTATGGACACTTGGACAGTAGCATGCGTGTTTACCAATCGTTGGTCCGGTGTTGACGACATGGCTGAGCTTGAGCCAGTGCAGGATGGCTGTCTTGCCAGCAGCGCCGGCGAGGCCCAGCAGCACGATCTGCGCCTCCTGCTTCCAATTCCAAGAAGCCTCCCCATCGCCAACCCCATGCTGGATCAGTTCGGTTCAGCAGCCGAGGGAGAGGGAAGCAGGAAGATGATTGGAATTGTGGCGAGCAGGCTCGAGAATCTTATATACTCCTAGAATGGACAGGAGAGTTCTTTTGGTCAAGTCTCAGCCTGCCAGCTGCCAGCTACTTCAGTTCTAAGCGAACCACTTAAGTTGACCACCCACGATCTTCGTTATCCTCGTCATGTGCTTGAGCAGCGAGAGAAGTCGTCGCCGTAGACTACACGGTAGTTCGCCACGTCTCGAGACTCCAGAGTTGTGGCCTGTGGGTTCGTGCCATGGTGGGCTTCTTTTCCCCTCAGGAGCCCAAACTTCGGCGCATCCCGCACTAGCCATGCCGCTGTTTCCCAGCCCACGAGCACTAGTCCCCCCACGTCCTCCAGAGTTTTCCCTGTCGAGCGCATCGGCGAACGGCGGCGTTCTACACCGCGGCGAGCCGCCGTGCTCCTGCCTGACTTGACCACCAGGCACTAGCCCGGAGGTCCCTCAGGCTGTCAGGCACTACGGCGCTGATCGCCGAGCCGCCTTCTCTCGTCACGCGTTCGACGTTGAAGCGAACCATCTCCGCTTCGTGGGCGAATTGCCGTCGCCAGCTGCTGGCGTGCGTCTCTGCCGCGTCTGCCCTTCACGGATCCGTACATGCTCCTTGGTACGCAAAACGCTTCTCTCTCTATAAAATGACTTGATTCCTTAAGTTATGTGCCATATTTTTTAAATGTAAACTTGCAGGAACCTCTGTTAGTTTTGTGACTTTTTGTCCTATGTCAAACCAATCTTATAAGATTGATTGACAGCTTTATATATACAAGAAGCACCAATATTTATGATAACCGAATAAGCATAATTTGATTCATCATGAAATGTATATATTTTAGATTTATAGGACTAAACCCCAGTCTTAGCCTGACCAAGACCAAAGACAGTTTACATCATTCAGTTCTGCACCACCGCTCAAAGTTCAGTCCTCCTAGCCGACCTCCCAGCATATTAACGATTGTCATGGAATATATTTTCATTAAATATATCTGGTGTCATAAATATTGATTTTTTAATATAAGTCTGGTCAAACTTACGATACTTTAACTTAGGACAAAACTATAATTGCAATCTTTTTGGACAGATGTAAGTGTATACATGAGAGAAAGCAAGGACATGATTGATAGTTGCCCTTGCTGTGGGCAAGTTTGCCTTGCCTAGCGAGGTCGAGCCGATTTGGGTTGTTCATGCTAGTAAAGCAAGTAATGCCTAAATCTGGCCCACACAGGTTTCAAGAAAATCTTGCTTGGCATCTAAATGGGTAACATGCTTGCTATCTTGGCTGGGCAAGGCAATATAATACCCAGCTAAAGCCAAGCACACTCTTATAGACGATACTCTATATTCATCTTATCCTAGAGAAGTTTTCGTTCAAAAAAATCTTATCCCGTAGAGAAGTCTATGGCATCTCTTAATTTTCATCTTGTATTCATAAATATTATGTAACACAAAGCTTGGCTAAAACTTGATACACCCGTTTGCAATTGGAATTTGATTT